TGAAATGGATCGAGTACGTCATTAATTACGAGGCGGAAAAGGACGAAAACTTTCCGAAAGAGCCATGGGAAACAGCTCTTGCGAAGATCAAGGACGGCGTCGTCAAGGCGGTGAAAGAGAGAGGTTTGGGCCGAGTGTCTTTTGACTAGTCTATGTATGTTTCACGACCTATCACGAATGAACGAGCCATGCCACGCTGCAGTATGTGCGCCAGGTTTGGGTGACACGATAATACCCGACACTTGGGTATCACCAAGAGAGAGTACATTCCACCCAACTTCCAAGGTGCATCATGCGGTCCATAGACATGGACACAAAGGCAACTTTGCGCTAGCACCCGGCAATATGTTCAGTCATGACCTATGACAGCAGACATATGACTAGGAATCACCCCCATCGCGACATGTCGTCAAGATATTCTAGCTCTTTTTCCTGAGCTATAAAGCTACCTAGACTGTTCTACTTTATCTATTCTTCCGCACCTTCAAGCAGAAGATCGCTGAACCCATCAATCACACGTCCATACCACGTCACCAATAGTAGCCTCCAGCGGTACGTTAGCACCAGAAAGTGCCGGCCACGATGAGATTCTGGACCACACTTACGATAGCGGGATTCATGGGGGTAGTATCCACTACCGCGAATGACCTCATCCCATCAAGGGTCTCTACTGGCATTGCAGTGGCGGTGGCTCCCACCATCGTTACAAACCACGTTCCGAGATCGAAATTTCGCTATCGATCTGTCCAGTTCCTGCTTGAGAAGATAGATCAAAAACTAAACTGGATGTCCTTCGTCGGTCCTGGAGGCGAGGCAGTCGACCCCTGTGCGCCTACATCCCCCTCCGCGCCCTTCCAGGGCCTCCATCGATGGTGGCCGACAAACAAGCCTGAATTCACTGGGACCAAAGATGAGCAAATTCCCGAAAGATACCTTGAAAGGATGCCGGAGGTGAGTCTTGCAACGCTATATGATACTAGTTGAAGCATCAGGCTGACAAACATATCCCTCTAAAGCCCGATGAAAGTCTTCCGATCACTATCAACGGTCAAGATAACTGCTACTACTCGAGCGACGGCGCGCAAAAGACTTGGATCGAGTGTGACGACAAGCACTTTGAACACTGTGGTTTCGACCCGCAGATCAAAGATCCGGAGATACACTGTGATAACGGCCGTCGGTACCGTCGCGTGTTCTTTTGCGACTTTGATGAAGAGGTGCCTAAGGAATCATCCTAGCATTGGGCTGTCTGAAGAGAGTGGCTAGAGGCGCTGGGGGTAGCACTTGCCGGATCCAGGTCCTTCCAATTACACCCTTTTCGTTCATACCTGCTAGCATGACTGCCCGTTGTACTACCAGCCGCATTTCTTCTTAGCCATAGTTGATACTGTATAGGAACATGGAGACTGTGAGACATGGAAGAGCCCGCTATTCATCCAGTCTTGGTGTTACTGTGATACCTAGGTACGTTACCTGACTTACCCAGGTAGGTGCTCTACGCAGTATCAGAACATGACGCAATAATCGCGCCACGTGCTGCTCGATCACATGATCACAGCGCTGTTTCACCGTTGACGTTTGCACTCACTGTTGGCAGGCCCCCGGTTGCCGCTTCCCCACTTGCACTTCCATCATACACGATCATCAGTCATGCACCAATATAAGCTTGGGCGCTAATTTACTCGGCTCTCACCTTTGCCCGCACTTTCTTTCTGCTCTACAAAACCTGATCAAGCTACTGCCACTCAACCGCCCAAACTTACACTCGTCATGTTGTCGTGGCTCCCTTTCCTCGTTTGGCTTGTCGCGTATCTGGTCGCGCCAGGTATCGCGGTACCTCTCGAGGTACCTAGCCCGCACGCACTCTCGAACAGTACATCAATGGCAACATCTGATGGAGCGATGGTCAGTACTTCATTTCAGTGCTCCTCAACAAAGCAAGACTGACCTTAGTACAAGCATATCCGCGACCCCAGAAAACTGAACTCCATCCAAATTATCCTCAGGAAGCAATCTCGGCTCTCAGCAAGAACAGAATACTATTACCACTTCTATGAGGGCCCTTCTGGTATGGCCGCGCCACTCTGCAGCCTGGGATATGGCATGAAAGACTTCCACCCTGTCGAATCTATGGGTCCATACTACTACAAAGGCGACCCAATCAAGAAGCCCCCGTTTCCGCCGGAGGTGAGTCTGGAGAACACTGGCATGATCTGTGTCTTTTATCGATTCGTTATGAGCAGGTACTGACTTTACGCGGTATAGATGACTTTCCCTTTGGATCTCCCAGGCAAATATGTCGGCTGTCAATATACCTCAACAGGCGGCGATCCAGGCTGGCTTGACTGCGGCCCGGGTCGTGACATTCTGCATTTCGACCAAGATGAACGGTATTTAGAACCAGCCCAGGAATGCGACTGGAGAGAGAAGGCATGGGATCATCGCGGTTTCTTCGTGGATACTTAGGCTCGTCTATCAATAAGACGTTGTGCTCGAGTATGGCTGAGGCTGGAACATGCGCACAGCGCAGAGCGGAGATACTCTACATTGTGCGAAGGAATGCATGCATATGCCGCTCAGTCTCTCCTCCGTTTACTACAGTGCAATGTCTTCATACTTCCATACTACGTTTAGCTTAGCATTACTAGTGAAAGACCCTGTGTTTGTTTACAACATTCCTTTGTCTCCCGCAAACACTCGACCGCTGCTCTTCACAGCTCACCGCTTCTCTACCCCACTTTGAAGACTGATTACTTCAAGTCATCGACAAGCATTTAATCTACATCAAAGCTTCTCATCCAGCTCTCTTCCTCTAATCAGCGAAACACAAGACCCAGATCAACTTCCAATTCGCCATGCTCAACTGGCTTACTTCACTTGTCTGGCTACTTGCCTGCTTAAGCCTTGTATTAGCAGTGCCTGTCGACACGCCTGCCGGTAATGTCACATCTATAGCAAGGCGCAATACTGCGAACGTATGTTTATCAGCCCTTTTGACGCACTCCCGTAGCAATCTTGTAGCACTCTTGCTGATGAAGCTAACTAGGCATCTAAATATCCGTACTCCCTCCAGCTCATCCTAAGTAAATTCCCTGTGCGCCGATACAACTGGTTCATCTTCCAGGGACCCCAAGGAATCGCAGTGGATCCTTGCCTGGACCCTAAAGATGATCCGAACTTCGAGCGAGTCTACTTCGGAAGGGAATTAGCGGGCGAGGACGACGACATCGCCCATCCGCCGTTTCCCCCTCTCAGTGTAAGTAGAATATTCTTAAACTCTTTGCTGAGTATCGCATGCTAATTCGCACTCTCTTATAGGTATACGCTGACATCGAGTATTCCGAAGACTGCCATTACATTGGTAGCGGCGTCGACGCTGGTCAGTTTCGATGCGGAGATTACTACATCATCGATTGTGCGAAAGATCCGCGCTACAACGAGGCAACCTTCAGATGTCCGGATGGTCGGGAATATCACCGCGGATATAACTGCGAGTTCTGAGGAGACAGGCTAGATGGACCCGGGCTGATGGCAAGCGTATGTAAGGGTTAGCCGTATGGTTCAAGTAGGCTTACTTAAGTGGTCATCTCACCCAACGTATGCATGTGAGGTGAGGAATGCACTCGTCCTCAAGCAATATATTCGTCCTCAAGTAATGTATATGCCCAGGTGTCCTCAAGAAATGTACTCGTCCTCAAAAAGTGTAAGCGTAGAGACAGGCTCGTGTGCGAGTTCTGACGCGTTATTTGCCCTCTGACCCTATCTTAGCGACTGCCGTTTGCTTCATCTGAGACTAACTGCAATTGGCTACACACACGTGCTACTCTTGCGCGGTTGCCTACTTAACGCACTCACTTCTCACCACGAGCTTGTCGAGACATCGAGCCCCAACGCCAATTCAGGACATCGCGTCTCCGTTCATACACACTTCATCAACTCGACACAGCCTGCCTACGAATCAATAGCAACTATGTCCTCCTTAGTCACCTACCTCGTGTGGCTCTTCGTCGGCGTCGGCTTCGTTCTTGCCGCACCCGCTGAGCAGTTTGCAGACCACCCCACTGCCGTGAGTGCGCGATGAGAACGTCAAGCATCGTACTGACTAAGTTCAAGGGCCAGGGTCCGTATCCCTACTCCCTCCAGATCCAAGTCGAGGAGGTAGATACCAAGTACTACGTGTGGGACATCTTCCAAGGACCTAGCGGCGTAGCCGTGAACCCTTGTGGAGACACTCGCTTCGAGAAGGTCTATCATGGCGAGCCCGGATGGCACACCAACAAGCCAGACATGGACAGCCCTCCTTACCCTCAGAACTACTTGCCGTTCGTCCCCGAGGTGAGTTGGCTGCTATCTTTAGACGCTCACCGTACATACACTAACTCACTTCTAGTTTGAGGTTCCGATCGAGTACGGCAACCGCGGTGACTGTGCCTACCACGCCACTGGCAAAGACGCGGGCCAGTTCCGTTGCGGCGACTACTACATAATCGACTGCGCCAAGGACCCTCGATATGGACACCAAGTTTCCTGCGGTAACCCGCGTCCACGCTACGCTGTGGCCTGGTACTGCGAGTTCTAGAGGTTGGATAACCAATCTGATCAAGAGCGATCGGAAGGGTGGGCAAGGCGCAGCTTGAGATGTGACTACAAGTCTCCTGCCTCCTATAGATGTGGGAACACTGAGCCATTCTACGTAGAACCAATGAATGTATGAAGAAGGCTCTCACTATCGCTCTCAGTCTCACTCTAATTACCCTGTATGGCAAAGCGCGAAGAGCTGCCGCCTAACTTGGTCGTTCGCACGTCCCCTTCCGCCCGCCTTTTCGCCTGCCTTTTCGCCTGCCTTAATTTTGCCCACTAGAGCCGTCAGGTGCTCGCTTCTTAGCCAAGAGATCATAGAATATATATGTAGCTCACAATGGCTCTCGCTCAGCCTCTATCCCTAATACAAAGCTTATCCTGAAGACCTGGACGAAACGCACAATACTGTCTCCCTCAACATGCTCGCGTGGCTCACCCTCCTCATGGGCCTATCCATCAGTCTACTATTCGGCGCGACCACTGCCTCATCTGCCCAGTTCTTGAGCCCCGAGGCGCAGGCTAATCGCACCGCACATGGTCTGGTACGTATGCATTATGTTCTGGGACGCGGTGCTCTACTGACCTTATGTTAGCAAGCTGATGTGTTCACCAATTCGGTTCAGATCATCCTTGAGCGTTACTCGATTGCGGACTTCTACTGGTCGTTGTATCTAGGTCCTTATGGTGTGAAGATGAATGCCTGCAAACCAGGAGACTTCAAGCTCGGCTCGCAGATAGGTGATTTCGACTACGATCGCAACGACATCAACAACCCCCCAAACCCACCCGCGGTAAGTGAATTCATCGATTGCAGCTTGGAAGTGCACGTGAAACTGACCACAGCGTAGACGGAGCTACCTGTTCCCGAGTGGATGGGCCGCAAGGACTGCAACTGGAAGACCAACGGTCACGGTGATGTCGGTCAGTTCGTATGTGGCGACTGGATGATCTACGACTGTGAGCGAGATGCGAGTTGGAACGATGGAGCGATCTCATGTACCGGCCAAGGTTGGTCGTACCATCGGGGATACGCCTGCAATTTCTAGGCTGGGGCCTTTCGTGCGCTGCATAACTTGGCAAAAGAGTCTTTCGTCGCTTGAGTAATGTGGTGGACGGTCTTGGGATTGGGATCTTTCTGTCTGCAACAGGGCGGAACATTAGATTTCCTCTTAGAAGCCGGACAGCTAGTTACCATCTTAGACACTTAGTGAATCGAATTGCGTATCGCTTCTAGATACACATGCTTATATTCTACTTGTTTTACAGTGCGCTAGTAGGCAAAAGAAAGCGCTTTCCTATTTATTTGCTTATATAGTCTTAGTGTGTGTTATTTATCTCTTAAAAGAACTTTATATTTAATATACTAGTACTAGATAAACTAGATAATCTAAATAATTAACTAGATAACTTATTACTTATAATAGCTACTTAGCTATTTTTATTATATTTCTTTACTTTTTTTATTTATACTAATATTAAATAAAGATTTTATATTTAGCTAAAATAGCTAGTACTTACTTATATTATACTTTATTATTAAATATAGTATTTAAAATAGCTTACTTATAAAGTATTAGCTAAAAGCTTAGTAGTTAAAGTTAATAAACTAAATTTAATACTACTACTCTTTTAGTAATTAAAAAGTTCTTAGCTACTAAGTTATTACTTATAAAATATTAGCTATATATACTATATTTATATTTTTAGTATATATAATATACTTTAAATCTTTTTAAAAAAAAAAAAGTACTTTTTAATATTTTAAATTTTTATATAATATAATAGTATAGTAGTAAAACTTTTAAAAAAAATAAGTTTAAAAATAATAATAAAATAGTAATAAGTAAATTTTAACTTTACTATTTTTTTTTTTACTATAGTAAACTTTATAAAAAATAAATATATTATTAAAATATTAAATAGTAGTAATATACTATAAAAGCTAAGCTTAGTAGCTAAGTTAATAGTAAGTATATTAAAAGCTATAGTTATACGTATATAATATACTTAAAAAGTAGTACTTATAGTAGTTACTTTTTATATTTTTTTTTTTAACTTATACTTATATATAATTTTTTTTTTAGTTACTATTTACTTTATTTTATAGTACTATAATAATATAAAGTAAAATAAGCTACTTATAACTTTTATAGTATTAATAACTTTAATAAAAAGATACTTTTATAAATAAGAGAAATTATAAGTATAAGACACTGTCTCTTAAGAGTGTTACTGCTTACGTGGCAACTAATTAGTTCACTTCCGCTTACAGTACATAAACTCGTCCCGCTGCTCGAGCTAACTCCCCTCTCCCTAACGGCTCTCAAAATCAAGAAGCAAGTAGCACGTTGACTTCTACGCCGTTAAACATGCGGACGCTCGCCACATTGCTTGTCAGCCCAGTCACCATCTTCCTCGGCACGACTTCTGCTACCCCCATCAAGTACACCGGCGTACAGAGATCCGAAAATGGTACCGATTGGCGCCCCTCAGTGGGTATCCTGAGTACCAAGATCGACTTCATCGCTAAATACGAGGTAGGACTACTACGACTCCTCGGTCCAGATCCTCCTCCTCCGATCCTCCGGTACAGAGTACTATTGGCAAATGTACCAAGGCCCAGCCCTGGTATCTGTGGATCCTTGCGGCTACCCAGACCCCTTTAAGGTCGCGGATTTTAAAGGCGTGTACCATTACGGACGAGACGCGATTGACAACCCTCCGCAAGCTCCTGCTGTAAGTCATGACATCTCTTGCGCAAGTTTATGCCAGATCACAGAGATACGCTGTAGCTGACAGCACATTCTCAGATGGATCTCAAGTTATTGAAGTGGATGGACCATGATGATTGCGTGTGGAGAACGCAAGGTAACGGAGACGTTGGGCATGTAGTGTGTGGTGATTGGTTGGATATGCCCTGCGAGGTGGATGGTTCATACAACCAAGGCGTGTTGAACTGCCATGGGAGGTCTTTCCATCGTATGTACGCTTGTAGGTACTGAGCGCGGGTGAACGAGGTGCTGGTTGCAAGCGGGTCAACTTCGGGGTCGCGTCAGGGAAACTCGGGGGGCTGGTAGGCGCTTCTGATCGAGGCCCCACATTCCACAGCTTTGGGTACTCGCAGTGTGCACATTGCGATGGCGTGGTTTGCATGACCAGATATCCTGTTCATTAACATTTCCATGCGCACCTGACTATCGCTTGCCAACCTTTGAGAATTTCGAGGACAAGCCTTCGGCCTCGCGGTTGGGGGAAGAAGAGACGTGAGCTGGAGCGTGCGCGATCATCAATGACGACATTTACTAAGCCCGGAATGGTTAACATGCATAGCCCTCTTCCCGAGGTCGCGAAGTGAGTTCAGTTTCGACCTTTTCCTCATCGTCTACATCTTTGCCAATTGTACTTTTCGAATTCCCAGAATTCGCATACCCCGATACCCAGCGCACGAGTATCACATTAGTCGAGGTTAAAGTTTTGGCTTCTTCCGAGTATTCACTAGACTACGAGCCGAATGCGAGTATAGTATGATGCCGTATCGGTGCAGCCGAGGATGTCTTTTCGTCTTCGTCGATATGGTTGGTTGATAGTATCAAGTAGCAGGACATGAACAGGATGGTTATAAGGACGTCCAGAATTTCTGGCATATGAACTTCCCCCTCACAATCATCAGTGTCAACACCGGATCGCTTATACTTTTCGAGCTTTTTGGGATAATCTTTTTCTTCTTACGACCTACTAGCTGCCTCGCGATATGGAAGCTCCTCTATTCTATTCGTCCAAAGGGCCAGAAAATGCTACCGCCTTCGTCAACGGACGAGTATACACCGTGGACGATGCGCAACCATGGGTTGAAGCCTTCATCGTCAATCCCGACGGCAAGTTTGAAGCTGTCGGCTCGAACGAGGAGATCAGAACCATTGCTAAAAGAAGAGGACTCGTTCAGTACCAACTACAAGAGAAATTTGTCATGCCCGGTATCCACGACGCTCATACTCACCTCTTAGCGGCTGGATGCCAGCGCACTGGGGAAGCACACGTCGGCTGGGATAGCACCGACAAGACCCTCGCCAGCAACATCAAGTCAGCTTCCTGTGCCTGCGCTTTTTCAAATGTCATGGGCAACTGGATTATAGGCAACTTTTACCAGGCAAGCAACTTTGCCGATGGCATTCCCGACAGAAAATACCTCGATGAGCTGTACCCCGACGACCCCGTAATCGTGCGCGAAATATCCTGCCATCGAATTCTCGTGAATTCTGCTGGGTTGCGTGAGATGGGTATCGACGACGACGTCAAGGACCCGCCTGGGGGTTTCTTCTTTCGTCGAACTGATGGCACACTCACCGGAGAGATTGTCGAGGCTGCAACAACTCCAATCTGGCGTGGTCTACCGCGCACACCACTCAGCTATGCCAAGACTGTCATCGAGTTTGCCATGTCTGAATGTCATAGGTATGGCATTACATCCGTGCAAGAGGCATCGGCCAACACCGTCTATCTGCACGCCGTGCGTGAGCTGGAAGCGGAGAATCGCCTGCCTCTAAACATACACACACACATTGTTGCCGCACCGGAGAAAGCTCACGAGCGCGAGGAATCACTGGCAGCTCTGCTCAATGTTGCAGAAGCTTTTGAGAGCAAACATGTTCACACGAGCTTTGTCAAGTTCTTCCTCGACGGCGCTCCGCTTCCTCCACAGTCCACCCAATGCAATTTGAACGACCATGGAGCGCCCGATGCTAAGCATTTGCTGTTGAGCTACGACAAGCTACTCGAACAAGTTCTCAAATACGATGCTCGGAACATGACATGCAAGATCCACGCCGCAGGCGAGGGAAGCTTGCGGCTTGCGCTGGACGCCTACGAGGCTGTGCGAAAGAACAACCCCAACGGTCCCAAGCACGAGGTTGCGCATTGTAATGCAGTCCATCCAGGTATGTGAAGCCATCCCTGGGCATCCTTCGCGAGATCTTCATGCTAGCAAACTAACTTATGCTGTAGATGACATCCCACGGATCGCACGCCTGGGCCTTACCGCCGAAATGTCCCCGGCAATTTGGCACCATCCCATTGTGCAAGCAGCGCCCCATCTGCTCAAGTGGCCCTTCAACGATATTCTGGCTACGGGCGCTCGTATGACGATTGGCACGGATTGGATCTTGACTCCCAACCCGAGTTTGTTCGATCCACTTGCACACCTGGTGGAGAGACTTGAAGTGCCTGAAACACCAGCCCATAAGGGATTGAACAAAAGGCTGGTAGCCGCTGCAACGCTCTGCCGTATGATCACGTTGGGAGGTGCAGAAGCGGTGGGAAGAAGTCGCACGCAGGGCAGCATTGAAGTTGGGAAGATGGCAAACTTCATTGCTGTTGACCAGGACTTGAGTCAGGGAGAGTTTGCTGGAGCTACAGTCTTGAAGACTTGGTTTGAGGGACGACAGGTGTATAGTTCTGTGCCGGGCCAGTTGGGGTTGAAATGTTGATGGCTTGGCCTTCTGTAGATTAGCCCCGCCATCAGCGCATTTCATTTCCAGCAATGAAGAGATCCGCGACTTTGGCTATCCTCGCCTCAGTGATTGGCATCTTCAGTCTCAATCTTCTCTTCTTCATCGACTTCTCCAACCAGTGTGTATCCTTGAGGTTCCTTCACAGCCGCAACGAATATAACGCTCCCCACGATCAATGCCGCACCAGCGAACTTCCACCATCCCGGCTCCAGTCTCCATACAATCTTATCCGCTAACATAGCGAACACCACCTGCAGGTTTACTATGTGAAGCGCTCTCTTCGAATCGCCGGTCATCAAGCTCGCTGCCAGGAGCCAATGCATAGCGAACCCCAATATGCCCAACACGCACACGAACAGCCATCCTACGGCGGTAGATGGGAAATTCAAGCCTTGTTGCTGTATGATGAGCGATGCGCCGCTGAGTAGCGTACATATGGGGGCAAAGTATGCAACCGTTGTCATCGGGTGTGCGTGCTCTCCTAGACACGACATCGTTAAGAAAGAGACTGCGCCGCCGAAGACACCGATGAGTGCCGCAGCAATGGCCAGCGCATGTTCTCTAGGCGTATTCGTTATATGAGCGCTCCATGGCTGCAATACACAGAGTACGCCAATGACCGCAATTAGAGCAGCGAGAATTTGAGCGACAGAGCAGCGCTGCTGACCTGGTAATAAGCCGAGGAGAAGGGCAGCGAGAATTGGCGCGAGGAAGTTGATCAGTGTCGCCTCAGCTAATGCGAGATAGCGTAGAGAGACGTAGAAGCCCCAGATACCGAAGAAACCCGCAACGCCTCTTACGATGAGTAGAGGGCGCAGCTTGGGAGGACCGAATGCACCACCAGGAATGGCTGTCGGGGACAGTAATATGTACGTCCATGACATAATGGTGATTATCGACATCATTACAATGAGTATCTGGAGAACATAAGTATTTGCGTAGATGGGCGGGTAGCATATTCCCATACCTCGGAAGTACCGACTGTTGTGGTGCCTGAGCCGCCGCTACGCTGCGTTCCCAGGATGCGCCCCAATGTCGCCAAGATGGTGGAGCATACTTGCGCCGAGAGCATAAGAAAAATACCGGCATTATTGTGAAGGAAAAGATCGGCGCTGCTCGCAACACCACAGATTCTGTTTGTTATTGATGTAGCTGAAATCATGGTGTTGTGATGGGGAAGGTACGGAAAGCTCTCCGATGGAAGACGAGCTCGAAATGCAGGAATGTGAGACTTTACGTGTATTTGATGCGTTTCACGCCTCCTTTCAGCACGACCTTTTCAACTGCGCAGCGAAATAACTCTTGAATTCTTCACCCTTGGTCGCGTAGATTAAAGAAGGAATTATGTGCCTTGAAACTCAACAATTCGGCGTTGGTGCGCTCTGCCGCACGTGCATCAACGAATTTCGGTTTGCGCAAAAGCTGCATCATGATGTTTCTGTCAACATACTCAACAGGAGGTCGTTCCATCTGCCTCAACCGCGGTTGACGATGAAGTTGAACTTGTCAATTACCACCTCGTTAGCAAAGACGAGGGTCCGAAATGTATATCCAGCCCACTGCCAATAACGGGACCCCAGCCATCGTTGCAGCATCGAGCAAAAGTCCTACATGCGCCAAAAGGTTATCGCTAAATGTGTGCGACACTCACTATGGCTGTGAGCCTTCACCAGTGGCTTCTCATACCTTCTCTTGGCCTTGGCCCCGTCCTTGGGCAGAATGCGTGCTATCTTCCCATGCCTCCTTCGTGATGCGCCAGATCCACTCATTCCCAAAGAGCTTATCTTTTATTCCCTCAGCCGGGAACCCGAACTTCTTGTTCATCAACCCCTTGAACGCCGTATTAGCATCTACACAAGCTATGTGTATCTCATCCATGCCTAGGACAGCGAAGCCATAATCAATGACCATACATAACGACTCATAGCCGTAGCCTGAGCCACGATAAAACGTGTCCAACATCAAGCCTGCGTCGCCAATCAGCTTGCCATCAGTCTTTCTTCTGCCAATCCAGCCCAAGCCGCCGGTGCCGACAGTCTTCCCATCTATCTCGATAGCGATGTTGGCACGCTGCAGTGGTAGATCGACGACCTGCCATTGCTTGATCAAATGCTCAATGGCGTCACTACTGTCAAGACCGGCACATGACTTGTCGTGCTGGACATTGCGATAGTCGGTGAAGAGTCGTAGGAGTGCAGAAGCGTCGTTCGTGTTAGGAAGGCGGAGATGCAGTTGGGGAAACGTAAGCGATGTGATACGTAAGTCGCTTTCACCTTCGGACGATAGATTCGTCGAATGTGTGTAGAAGACGGTACTACCGGTAGCGACAAGCGCAGGGTATTCAGTCCCTGCAGGCATGGTCTCGGGGTTTCGACGGGCTGGGTAACACTCAGAGAACCGGAGGTTTGCGCAATCGACTAGTGTGGTGTATGCAGATGGGTGCGCATACATCAGCTTCTTCGTCGATGCAACGTACGTTGGGCGTGATTGTGCCCGCTTCCGATGACGTGACGGCGTTCATCCGCGTTGACTTTAGGTATGATGGCAGCCAACAGATCAAGGCCTTGTTTGTTTCTGCTGAGTAGACTGACTGCTGACTGCGATCACAATACTTGCCGTAGTCGGTGAAGCTCGGTGAGGCTCCGACGAGGGTATTCCTATGGGTGATGGTGTGCGGCACATTTGCGGCATGGGGCTTGGTGCCTCTACGCTATCCTGGAAATGGAAAATTGCACGTGGCCCCAGCTCAAACGTGAAAACAAAGGAGATGACGGCACCTGCATGCTTTAACACCACCTTCCTCCTTGTGCATATGCCGGAGTGGAGTGTATGCAAACATCATCTCCAAGGTTCCAGAGCCCGATAGGGCTTGCTCTTCCACCAAAAACATGCTGTGGGTAGCTGGCAAAGGGTTTTAGGTCAGCTCAATTCTAGCTTTCACCATCGTGCTGAAGCCTGTACATATCAGAGCTCACGACAACTTCAACGACGTACAACGTCTTGCATTACAATGTCTCTTCTCTGACCTTTGTACCAGGTTGTCCACATTGGGCTGACATAGTAGCGGCTATTGCACGCATGCTGGACGAACGGAGAGTGGCGGTGTCAGAGCATCGCTAGGTACCAGATTATCGCGTCGCCATCCCCAACAGACTACGTATATGTACACCCATTCGTTTGATGCCTGTCGCACGAATCCCGGGGTACCAGACGCCGTGTGATCATCGCCAAAATTTGTCTCGCATTCGCATTAGACTAGAGATAAACTACTGCGCGACTATGCGTGGAACTCATTTCCTCTACACGACCGCTGTGGCAGTATACTGTGATTCGAAGCAACGTGGATGGTGAGATGGGTCACAGTCTTGCTACTATAGAAGGATTGGCTCTCGCCGCAAGGGTGTCGGCTCAGATGCACTGAACGCGCAACGCAGATCTTCCAGTCGCCACTTGCAAGACAAGATACACTTTCAAAGAGATCTGTCAATGGAAATTGTCGAGGCTAAACCTGTAAAACCGCCTACAGACTTCCATTGCGTCGCTTATCTGAGTATGTGCTTCGTCTCTAAGCATGTCTTTAGCTGACAGCGTACAAATCCTTTGACGATGACGATGATGATGTTGAGGCCCTTCTTGTGGCTTGCAGGGGGCTTCTGATTCAAAGAAGCATCGGAAAAAGTAAGACATAGTCTACAGACACGGCATCCACTTGGCTAACAGCCATGATCGCTTGAGGTGATGATGGTCGCGGTGCAGCTGCAGGAAGTAGACATGTTCCAGCATTTCCTACACCGCCGTATATAAGACTCAACCTCTGCGTCTATTCTAGCTAAAGGATTCTTCAGTATCGACCGTCTGATCCAGAGTACATAAGATCATTTTCCACTGCATCCCGCAAGAAGTCATTGCCTTCAACCCCAGCTTCTGATTACTTGTGGAAAGACTCAACCAGAGTTTAGCCAACAAGGTGGCCGCATCACTATGGCCGTCACAAGTTCACAACAACAGCGTGCGCTCATTCTTGATATCGGCGATGTGCTGTGTCACTGGTCTATCGAAAATCTCACTGCCATCTCTCCTCAAAGTCTCCACGCCATCACCCGATCGCCAACCTGGAGCGAACTGGAACGCGGCTGTATTAGCGAGACAGAAGCCATCCGAGCTATCAGCAAGGAGCTCTCTCTCGATCCTGACGCCATCGATACCGGGCTCATGGAATGCCGCAAGACATTGCGCGTCGACCAAGAGCTCACATTCCAACTCAAAGAGCTCAAAGCTGAGTTAGGTGGCCGTCTCAAGGTTTATGCCATGAGCAACATTGCCAAGGAACATTTCGCCTTTGTCAAGACCGTACTATCCGACTGGGATCTGTTCGACGGCGAGTTTTTGTCCTTTGAGGTTGGCATGACGAAACCTGATCTACAATTTCACCAGCATGTTCTGGATAGCCTCAACTTGAGCGACCCTTCTTCCGCGATCTTTGTGGACGACAAAGTCGCCAACGTCAATGCCGCCCGCTCCTTCGGGATTCATGGCATCGTCTTCGACTCTTCGACCGCTCTTATTCGTCAGTTGCGTAACCTTTTGATGGATCCTGTTGCCAGGGCACGCCGCTTCATGACCGTGAATGCGCACAAGCACACATCGTGCATTCAGGATGTCGCCCCCGTGATTTTTGATCACTTCGCCCAATTCCTCATACAAATTGAGTTGAATGATGATAGCGTCATCAGTCTCTCACCACCCGGCGCTTCCAACGCTGATGTCAAATCGGACATCCGACAGGCCCGTAGCCAAGCCAAAGCATGGAACTTCTTCAATGGCCCACCAGTCGGCACAACGAAAACGTGTAAGTAGAATCGATGAACAGTTGTGGTATATGTGCTGACTTCATACGCCTGAACCTAGACCCTGATGATGTCGACGATACAGCTCTCGCCTTTCTTGCGTTCTCTCCACCTGCAGCATCTGCCAATCCGATCTTGGACCGTATCGTCGAGAACAGGCACGACAAAGACGGTCTTATCATGATCTATCTTGGTGGCACGAGGCCCCGTGTATGCCCGTTCATTATGCTCAACGCCGTCCGTGCCCTCTATAGATACGGACGCGGCGCAGAAGTACAGCCCGAGCTCGAACACATTCGTCGCGTCCTTCTGAAAGGCGGCCACATCGATGGATCGGAACACTATCTTGCCAGCGAGACCTTTCTGTACTTTCTGGCGTGTCTCATCGAAGATAATCCCACTGCACCTGAGGTCCAGTCGCTACGTAAGCCAACGGTTGAGGCCTTACGTCAACGCGTCAATCGCCCCGGGGATTCTTTCGTCCTCGCCTCACGTGTCTTAGCATGCCAGAAGCTCGATGTGGAAACCCAATCTGACCTGGCATCTTTGAAAGAGTTGCAGGAATGTGACGGAGGCTGGGAACTGGCGTGGATATCTCGTTTCGGTAGGAGTAAGAAGATGATTGGGAACAGAGGAATACCTACGGCTTGGGCTATCAAGGCACTGGAGTACGAAGCCCAGCCATAGTTACATGAGAATGCTCTGCCGGCAAAAGGTCGACATTATAGAATAACACTTTGTGTTAAAATTATCTTATCACGGTCAACGGTCTACTACTGAACTCAGCTGATCCATCAACTCAAAAGAGTCGATATAATGTCCCATACACGGCGACGGCGGTACATCACTGTATACCGACAAAGATGTGCACCCACTGATGAATACCTACACTGCCGATTGACACGGAGGTGAAAGATGTACTTATGAAGGTTGTTCGCTCTTCCATCACGCTCTTACTATCGCACTCTCACTATCAGTGACCAGCAGACAGATACAATCACAATTTTCGACATCCTAATCGCACCCTCAGCACCATCATACACCTCTCGGCCTTTGCAGTCGCACGAAATTAACCATGTCTACAGGATCTACTGGCGAGCGATTCAAGTACCCTGATGACGAATGTCTAACAGCGTACACCAAGGCTTTGGAAAAAGGTAGACTGCTGCATACACAGGCTCATTCTGACCAACCCAGCATTCCCCGGAGCGAGTTCCAATCCGTCTCCGACATTGAAGAGTGGGGCTATGTGCTAAGTGCTGAAACCGAACGGATAGGGATTATGTGTTCGGCGCAACATGTGCTCGAAACTACC